GAACGCACCCATATTTCCTCTAGCTTGGGCGTCGACAGATAGGTTATGCGTGGCTTGCGCCATAGAGGCTGTTCTTTGTTATTTTGATTAGATTTCAGTGAATGCACAAAAGGTTTTCTTACACCTCATTCCTATTCATATCAATATCATATTATTATTATACTTATGCATATTTATGACCTTCTCCCTTTTTGATCAAAGGTCAAAGTGTGCTGAGCAGTCCCCCCCCACTACTAACATTGTGGACATGTTTTTTTTTTCTACTTTTCTGCACTCTATGAGAGAAGACGGAAGATATATCACGTCGCAGTGATCTCTAAAAGTAGGCAACAGCTGTTTGCCATGATACTGCCAACGTGTGGTTAAAGTTCCAACTGCTTCTCAGATTGCAGAACATGAGCAGATTGAACGTTCAGAGATGGTTTTCTATTGCCAAAGTATCTGCCAAAATGGATGTTTCTAAGTCACTTCCCCTTCGTCGTTCCGTCAAGCTACTACGAGGCGCCTAAAATAAAAACTTTGAAGGACTGTCTTTGTTAACTTTCTTGACTTGATAATTTATTGCAGGTTTTGAATTTTGAAAGATTATACTTCGAACCTGAAATAACCACAGCCTTTCTCAGAGCCCTCAGTATCCGGTCAACCGCTCTCAAAATATATCTGTAAATGCTTTGCTCGTATTTGTCTTGCTGGACGGATAAAAGGCTCACGGATCACGGACGGATAAATGGCAAAGACTGCATTTTAATAATGTTCAAATAAGGTTTTCTTCTGTGGACAGATGATCACGAATCCCCCATAAATCGACTTCGCAGATTTTATTATTAACCCAAAACTTTTAGACTAAAAAATAATGCCATCAGGAGGGCTGCCAGTTGCTTCAAACGTGGACGTTTAGTGTAGCGTGCCGGAAAAGGGTTGTGGGGAAAGTCAACTTTTAAGTACGCACAACTGAAAGCGTCTTCAGAGACAGAATTCAAGCTGTATATTTAAAAATGCGCAGTAGAAAGACGAAACACCGATGGAATTCAAAACACTTTTTCATCCACCCTGCAGACTATTCAGGAAAGGGTTGTTAAGATAACTGTGGAACAACTAGGCGTCGATGAGGCGAAAGTGAGTACTTTTTTATTCCCATTTTCGTTTCCTATTTTAAGTGAAACACGATCTTTAATGCAATTTTTCAGAACTCATTTTTAAGAACTTGTTTGGGGTTTACCTTTTCAGACGGAGTCTGTGGATAGAGCCAGTGGGTCACTTTGGCATTTGAAAAAAAGGCTGGAAAGAACCTGACACCGCGTCAGCTCGAACTTGCTTAGAGTTTATGAATCGGCGTATGAACGAGCTGATAGCACTGATCTGCATTATTTTTACCCACAAGAATTATCACTGAATGAACGTGTGTAACCCTTAATTGACCAGGTCACTGCGGAAGCTGGTTTTGTGGAAGATCTTGGCGCTGACAGTCTAGACACGGTGGAACTCGTGATGGCTTTCGAGGAGGAATTCGGTAGGTCTGAGATCTAGGCCTGCCCAACACAAACGTTGGCAAAGATCTGACATAACAATCTTGTTTCTCCCATAGGCCACGAAACCGTACGATACCATTGCATGACGGCTCCTTTGGATTATGCCATCGCGTCGTTACATTGTCATTCTCGTTGCGTCGTTCGTCGCGTCGTGCAGTCGCCCGTCGCATCGTGCTGTCATTGTCCTTTCCATTTTGCATATTTCTCTGCTTCAACTTTTTTGTATGAAGCCGTCCTGGCAAGTACGTACGCAAAAAATTGTTTTGTACCCACTAAGCATGCAGTGGCTTAGACGCCTACATTTTCTTGTACGTATGCACATTACATGCTTTGACTTGTTCCACGGGTATTGCGTAGACCCTTAGTAAGATAAAGTGGTGTGTGCTGACGATTTTGGTGAATAAAAGCTGATACTTTTACTACCCAAGTAGTATCACTTTTATGACATACATAGATTTCAGTACAATTTGTCGAGCTAAATACGGGCGTTTCACAACGGCGCGCCTCCAAGAGCCTACAACGCATTGTCCAATCACAGTGCGCGAAATCTGTCGACCCAATGCGTGTTTGGAAAGGGTCGACAGATTTTGCGCCTTGCGATTGGTCAATGCGTTGCAAATTCTTGGAGGCGCACCATTGGGAATCGCCCTATTGGGCGTAACTATTTTGTGTGCGTCGTGCGCGTTGCTTCAGAACCCCTCCCCCATACGCAGTGAGTACTCGTCGCCAATCTACGCCCACTCGTACGTGCCAACAGGTACATCATGGACGGACCCCGTGAAAGGCACAGCCAAAGTTTATAGAGAGAGTTACGACGAATGTCTCAATCGTTGGAGACCGTAATGGCGCATTATGAGTCCGTGCACATGAGCAATATTGACACAAATAGCTGCATGCTGTAGTCCAAACATGAGCAGCCATTTTGGTTCCAAAGTCTGAAGGTGGTGCTACTCACTCTTTACCGTTGACTCATCCCGTGTTTTCTCCAAAAAAAAAACCACGAGGGACAGCTGGCGCGCTGCTTTGTGTTGTCTTGGCATCAAGTCCCCATCTCTTTACAACAAAAGGAGAGAAAGCTTTTACGAAATTTTCGGTTGATGATGAGGAACTTTCGGGAAAGTACGATGGGGAGAATAAGGTTGAAAGACCGTCTTGGGCCTGGGATTTTCCTGAACTTTAAACATCGAACCGTGCGAACGTCGGTAGGGCGTGCAAATATCGGGGTGCGGGGTACGCTCCTGGTGTTGCATTTGTGTGTGTTTTTTTTTCTAGGGGGTTTCGTGCCTTCCCATCGTTGTGCTCTTACCTAGAATTTTGCCTTTTCTTGATTGCTTTATACTTTAATTATACTGTTCTTTTTCTTATTTCCAATCTTATTTTGGTTCAATCCCTGTTTGCGCGAAGGCTGTTGGTCAGTCCGTCGGTTGGTTGATGATCTTGACAGAAATTAATGTGATCTTGTTTGCAGAGGTGGAAATCCCAGACGAAAAAGCGGAAGAGCTGAAAACTGTGGGACAAGTCTTGGACTACTTGAAAGGTGAGCTGTTAAAAACACATTTTAGGAGTGGGACTCCCCTTCCATACACCTTCCCGATCACCAGAGACGATATTTCGACTTTGATAGACGGATTTGAATCTTTGGCTTTTCTGCAGAGCGAAAGAGAAGCCACTCTGATAGCCTTGCTTTCTAGGTAAACTCTTCAAAGTTGGCTTTTGGCGTCAAGTTTGTTTCCTTCAGCAAGATCATGGAGCGACGAACAGCGACCACAAACAAATCAATTCTGAAGGGTCGCTGTTAACTCACGCCCCCTCTCCTTGGCTATCTACCATATGTCTTACTGCCCGGTGGGGATGGCCAATTTGGGCACAAAATCGAAGTTGGAGAAAACCGTCCTCTCGCGTGCCTTTCTGTGTGTAGGAATCCGATTCTCAATTTCGCGAGTGATGCGCCCTCCGCCGGTGTCCAGTTCTCGTTCTTGACTTCGGCTTCCCATGGCAGCGTGAACACATAGATCTTGAAGGGTGATCACAAAATCGGGGATTTTTCTTCCCAGTATCTATTGCTTGCCCAGCCCAGTCGACGGCTATTTCAAATTTTTCGGCTTCTTCGTGCTTTCGCGGAACCAAGTTACCCTGTTCTAAAAAAAACTCGTATTATTTCACGAGAAATTAAGCAGTCTTTTCTATTGGGAATATGCCATGGCATCTTTGGTATCACAGACTTTCTCATTGAATTCTTTTCTTTGTTCGTAATAGGTTAGATACAATTCCGGGCCGCTACCGAGTCGATTAAGCTGTTTAAAGATGAAACGGGGTTCGGAATTTCATGGAGTAATCGTTTTTCAACCCAACCAATCTACTCCTATTTCCTAACGATGCTTCGTAGTGCTTCCTTTCCGACAATATTTCTGGGTACAGTAGATTTCGCTAAACCACGCAGGCACGTGAGACAGTGGGGTATTTTGGGGGGCTATACCGCTCGCAGGTGACGTAACCTTTAACTTTCGCTACTGCAAATTCAACATTTCCCAGCCTTTTTCATTTATTTTTTGCATTGTTTTTGAGGGGTGCTAGACACAATCAGGCCCCTCCTCCACCCGTGGAACCACGCCTAAAACCACGCCTGAAACCACGCCTGAAACCACGCCTGAAACCACGCCTGAAACCACGCCTGAAACCGCGCGTAAAATACCGGATTCCGAATGCAACCAAGCGTGTTTTACTTTTCAAAATGCCGTTCACAAGATCGACTATGTTTTAACCTTTAACAACATTTTCATTATATACAAAATCCCCACTTCTTGTTCCAGTTCATGGCGTCATTATTTTTAAGATAACCCAGTAACAATTTTGCTGAGCTCTTTAGCAGTTTGAGCAAACTGTCGAGAATCTGTGGTGTTAGATCATCGGACCACAGTCTATTGTTGCTCGACCAAAGCTTCCTAATCTCGCAATGCTGCTCAGAGTCGACGCTGCATTCCGAGGAGGGTGTAGACATGGTCACTGACATGGGCTCGGTTTGCAAGCCAGGTAGGACTGCAGATGTCTGCTGCGGACGGTGATTGTTAATACAGAGCAAAATTAATGCCCGAGAGGGTCTGTCCTGTCTACGATGTCTTTGTTAGTGGGATGAAATGGCCCGCCGCACTATTGTCGTTTGTTCAAAGCACTGATCATGATTATTGGGCATGGCGCATTCCTTGGAGATCCGTCCGTCCAATCCTTCTGCAACCCCTCCACATGCTTAACTGCAGGCAGATCGCGAGACAGTTCCTCGTAAGCCGGCTGATACTGACCGCACATCCTGGCAATGTCCACTCAATTTACTGACCCACTGCGTCTTACCAGAGCCCCATTGGCCCCGTTACACACACACAAAGTTGCAAGATGCTGTACTGAATTTTTAACCCACGATGGACTGGGCCCAATTTCAAGACGCTGCTTACTGCAGAATTCTGCGCTTATGGATCTCCTTTCTGCACTAACCGCGCAAGCAGAAATTTTTTTGCGCTACTCCGGTTCGTAAATGTGGCGTCACTTCAGTTTAAACCACGCCCACTGCACATAGAGTTACATGCATTGATCGCTGTTTACGTGGAACCATGGAACCGGAAGTTGACGCGCAGCTTCAGCGATCGTCCAATGGGAGCCTGCAAATTATGGCACGTCCGCCTTTGTGACTTTGGCTGTATCCGAATCTCTTGTCTAGAGCTAGGCCTACGTCTTCACTCCATTGGAAATGCGTGGAGACGCGCAGACAATACACCTAGCCGTAGCTCTGGAGGCCTGTTTCGGACACGGCCTTAAAAGTCACTTACGAACCGGATAACCCTTTAAGCGCAGAATCCTTTGTTACGGGATGTACGCATGCGCACAAGCCAAAACTGAGAATTTTTCTGCTACGGGAAGTGCCGATTTTTCGCTTGCGGTAAGAAGCGCCGTGAAATTGGGCCCTGACCCAAAGTAATGGAACAACGTCACACACTGGAACAAGCATCCACATAGGCCTGGGCCTAATATAGGTTTTCCCGGCCGAGTTTAACATTTTCGCACACGAATTAGCGACAATTTCATTCAAATTAGCACGAAATTGATTGACGATCTACATCACCATTCAAAGAGCACAACTGATCATTCAGTTTCATTCTATGAGCATTTGAAGGGTCAGCATTGTATTTTGAAAAACACGCAAAAAGCATTCAAATTCGCGGGGACGCTCCTGCGGTATGTGTTTTTGCGTTCAGTTTTGTGAATCGGCAAGCATTTTAGCAGATTCGTGCAACGTTATTCATAAAACGCTAAATCTTTTAATCTATTTTTCTTTGTGACCAATTTATGCAAAACATGAAAGGAAACATTTCTTTGCTAATTTGCATTTGTTTCTGTTTGAGTTGTAAAACAATTATTAACGTGAAGTAACTTCATTACACAAATGGCAAAGTGGGGAAATGCCTAAAAAAGGACGGGAAAAATAGAAAAAAACATGAAAACAAAAACATTACTTTAAAAATGTGACCAAAAAAAATAAGCTTAAGAGCATTCTAAAACTCTTAGTATACATGCAGAGTGTGTTTCTTGTGTATAAAATAAGTAATTTACAAATGAGTAAACTGCATCTAAAGGATATTTCTTGCAGCGTCCGTGATGAAGGCCCAGGGAGAGTTTCTTAAACGCGCAATCAGTATTGGATACACTGTATTCTTGAAGTGCAATTTGTTTGAGATATATAAAAATATACATTCAAGTCAACACGTGGGACACGTTTTTAGCTTGTTCTCTACTTTGAATCTCCTTTTCTGTTCTATAAGGATCTTAATTTGCTTATAGTCTCGAAGTTTTCCAATTTGAAGGCTCAAAATGCGCACATGGTTGCCCATAGACCAAAACGGAAGAGGAATTCGGGTGGCATTTCTCATTCCATTCACCCAGCGCTCAATCGAATGACGGTTATGCACTGCTCAATTGAATGAAATTAACTCTAAAATAAATTTGCACTACCGGTATTCGACGCCTGTAAACGAATTTGCAGACTCTATCGTATGAAAAAGAAACGTAGGAGCAGCTAGCTGAGAAACAATCGTTGGAATACGAACAAACAATGATGCAATTTGCCGGGAAAACCGCAACTTTGCTATGTCGTCAAATTTGATTTTTGCAACCCACCTCATAAAAACAACAAAAGCATTTCAGGCTGATGAAAGTGGAGATGTATTTATTCCTAAATTATGATTCTGTGTTTTTTATCCTTGCAGAAAACATGAAGTAATCATCGGAGTTTTGAGTTCTTGTATAGCTGCTTGGATTTTCCCACAGTTTACCGCATTGCTGGACGCTGTGGCACTGATTGCAAACTCGTGTACAAGTAACAAATAGACTAAAATTTGTTTTTAAAAGGGAATTTTGTGGAAACTGATAGAAAAAGTAAAGGAATATTTTAACATGCTTCAGAAAATTTTTAACTAATTGTCTGGTGAGAGGTCTTTTGTTTTGATTTTCAACTCATGCACATATAAACATTGATAGCCAAGAAAAACTTCTGGTTACATGTATGGGAGCTAACACAGTTTTAGGTGCATGGAGTAGCTAGGCCTGGTAAAACTAAACGTCAGTTTTTGTGTCCTCTTGTTCCGTTTCGCTTTGCGTCTGATTTGGTTTTCGCTTTTTATGTGAAATTTAAGGGAAGCTGAAACTCTTTCGATGTGTGATGTTTGAATTATTCCCAAAATGTTTACAAGTTCTGATTAAAACAGCCTGGAAATTTTTATTTCAAGTCTTGTGTGTGTCATTTTGAATAGAATCACCAACGCGGATTGTCGTCTGTGCATGATACGAAGATGTAAAGAATCATTTGCTAAAAACAGCTGCCTGAAATTTGAAGGAACAATCACTTTAAGAAAATTAACGCCGTTAATGCGGACTGACCGTTTGGAGTATCACTTATTCCAAGTTTGAAACAGGAGACGGCTATTAACTCAGCGAAGTGCAGTACCCAGCCTGGTTCCCACTAAATTATCCTCCATTGCCAGGAAATTGTCGCACAACACCCCCCCCCGTTCTCATTAAAGGAGCCTCCGTTTCCAGGAAATTGCGCCCTCTCTTGGTCCAGCTCGGGGCTTAGTATTTCCTTGTTGCCAATATTCTAGAAATGAGAGTTTCTTTTAACACTCGGGCATCACCGGCATTTTATAAATGATCCTTATTTCTTCGATAATAGTGCGATGGTGGTGTCGGTGCCTCTCCTTTATATCAACACTGAAATAATTATTGTGTCTGATTTATAGTATACTTTTTGACAGGCCCTCATGTTTTCCGTAGGACCTGGCTTTTTTTGTAGACCTTAGGCATATTGCCACTATGTCTATCGGACAATCCGACAATTACGTCTTTCTCACCCCCGCCTTCTGCGCTGTTCTCCTTATCGACTCTTGGGCAACAGACGATCAACGTAAAACTCTTTGATTTTAGAACATTCCCCCCCCCCCAAACTCGTGTTTGTCCCCGTCACTTGGCGTCTTTGGGCTCAGACTCATTCTCAGCAGTACATTGTTGGAACATTTAGAGAGCATTCCAAACTTCAAGCACATTGAAATCAGTGGTGATGTAGACGCCTCACTAAGCACGCAGCAACTCGGGAACTAATCCTAAGATCAGTACTGGACACGGAGCTGGGATTTGTTTTGAAGATTATACTGGAAAAATTGTCGGACGACGGCTAAAATCTGAAAGTGAAATCGGAGACCAAAATGCCCTCTTTATTTATTGTTTTAAACTAAACAGTATACGCACAATCGTGCTAAGGCGCGGGCGTGACCCACCCTAAAACAACAAAACACCGATTTTTGTAAATTGCGCCCTCTATTCTTCTATCATCAAGCTGACATCACATCCCTGCTCACCACCGTACGTACCGACACCGTCCATAAATTTGCATAGCGCCCTCTACAATAAACAAGTTTTTCGAAGAACCGACGGCATCATTGTGAATTTGCTCTGCTCAAACCAGCATAGATTTGCCAAGATGGGTCGTCGATCAATAAATACCACGAAAAGTGGGAAATATATGAATCCCACTGATCAAGCGCGTAAGTATGATAGTAACTGAATTTAGGGTGTAGGTGACATTTAGTTTGCAGTAGGCTTAGGCTCAAACAAAAACTTGCAACGACATGATCTGAACGACGCTAGGCTTGGTAACACTGCAATAGTTTCGTGAGAAATATTTTTTCCAACTGATGTTTAGGTCTGTCCACAAAAAGACATTCGCGTGACATGCAGTGCAAATTTCCAATTGTATAATTTTGCCATTATTTTTTGCTTAAATATGTCTTCACTGTTTTTGATCGTTGCCACAGAAAGGTAAGGATAAATTGATCAGTAGGCCTAGGCCTACAAGTATTTGAGAAATTACACAAACTTGAAGATATTAGTACATTTGTTACATGGACAAACACTTTGTTTCTCTAATACAAAAATTAAAACATGGACAATTACATGCAAAGTATTAAATACTTTTTTAGTTTAATTTTAGAAACTTTCATTAGCCTATTTCCTTAAAAAGAATTTCGAGAAAACAATAAAACATTTGTCATTGGACAGACATCACCTTTGTCACATGAACAGACTTTTTCCTTGTGTTTGAATAAGTGTATGGGCCTCTGTAGGAGTCTGTACTGCAGGGGTTTACTTTGAGAGAAAAAAAAATTAGTGAAATTATCGATTCAGCTTTGAGGAAAAGTTGTAGTTAGGTTATTTTTCTATAACTGGCCCATGTGGAGAATTGTGATTTCTAAATTCAAACATGTACATGGAGGACTAGGACTCGTTGGTGCCTCATAGCCACCAACGTTAAGCATTTATTATTCGGTGGTCTCAAGTGCTAGTACCACAGAGCATCAGAATTGTTGTGGTGGTGTGAGGCATTTGCCTCGTGTAGCCAGTCCTAATGGTTTGATCAGGTTTAGAGATAGCCCCATACAGTAGTTCTTATATGACTACGTCCATATAGTGAGCCACACAAGATTATATGCTTCATGTGTGGAGAGTCCCCGTTGCTAGGGTCCCCCGAAAATTACTTTATACATTTTTTCAGAGCTTGACATTCAAATAGGGTGTATCCAATAAGTTATTGAGGACTTTTGTTCCCATCCACAGTAGTCTTCATTGAGATCTAAGATTTTGGAAGTAGGCCTATGTGCGATTGTTTACATCGTGGGAAAGAATTCCATATATGGATGCCGCATGACACACTGTGCGCAAACCCTATGAGATCTGTCCGACAACTTGTAAGAGTTTTCTGAGTAAATGCCTTCGATATTTGCACTGCTCAGTTTGACTTTTTAGGACATGTCATTGCTTTCAAATGGCCAAGTCACTGCAGCGAAAATTGGTGGCGTCCGAATGTGGAATTCTTTCCACGTAGTGTCCTCTGTCATTGTCGCCTGAGCCATTCACAGGTTTTTTGTTATGTATAATGCAGGAAAGGAAGCAAGGAAGCGAGAACTGAAAAAGGTATGCGATCTACATTACTCTGGGCATGCAGCTAATGAGTCGGTTTGCAGGTTAAGTTGTCCATTTAAACGGACGTTCCTGTTCTGTTGATTAAAATGATTGAGTCCCAGGTTTTGTGGGAATAGTGAAACAAAATAACATTAACCCTAACCTTCCCCAACCACACAGAATTAAACAGTAGTAAAGGGTTTAATTCTGTGGGGATAGGTCTGGTAGGCTCATAACAGCTGGCTTTTGCATTGGGTTTGGCATACCTCAGAAAAACAACAGCCTCTGTGCACAAAGTCCCATTAACTTTGTGTGAATGGGGAAGGTTAGGGCCAGCAACCCCTTGGGGGTTAGGGTTAAGGACAGCTTTAATGCTGGAAAGGACAGACGGACACGTGGCACTTAAAGTGTCAGCTCTATTTACAAGTACAAGGTTATTTACTTGTATTGCTCAAGGAATGGGCTTGATATTTTTGTCCAGTTTTTTGTGTTGGTTATCAAGAAAGTAGAGAGACAATAGTCTATTAGTTGCTAAGTTTAATAACCAGTTCTTACGGAGTAATCGCATTTCATCTTCAAAAACGTGTTCATCTTCTGTGTATCCTGCCTAAGTACCATGATGTATCATGTCCTTTGTAGCTTTTGACGAACCAGTTTGGTTGACACTTTGTATCCCCAGAACAAGAAGCAGCGCATGATGGTTCGCAGCGCCGTCCTGAAGACCAAAGATCCCAGAGCCATCTTCTTTGATATGGAAGCCCTGGACGAGCTGGGTAAGGGCAATTTTCCTTGGCCATGGATCAAGCAATCTTCACAAACCTTAATTAACTGCATACAGGTACCACACCGCACCTGCTGTAGGCCCACTTTTTCTTAAGAGAGATGATTGTATTAAAGTATCTTGCTCATGGACACAATTACTTCATGCACTGGTGGGAGGTGCACCTACAGTTTTGAGACTGTTACCAGACAAAAGTGAAACTACATGGGTAATCAGCTGGACACAAGCAATTGCAGTAATGTGTCATGCTTGGGGACATAGGAAACCTAACACCCCGGGGAGATTCAAGGGTACATTTGGAAGACATGGCTGCTGTTACGACCATCATATGGGTCCCAAGAGGTCATAACTGCCCCAGAGCAAACAGATTTAGAATCCATTTTATTTACTCGCTAGTGTGATGCTAAACAATGTTTGTGGTTGTTGAACTACTGGCTGTCTTTGAAAATCATTCATGAAAATTTATTTTTAATTGTTTGCATATGAAAGGGGTTTGAAATTGGCTCAATTTGGGGGGGTGAATATTGTTTAACCCTTACCCTACGTAATACTACAAATTACTACTTGTAATAAAATGTAGCACTGATCGCTCTCGCTTGTAAAGAGGACATGACTTTATTGTTCTGTGAAGCCATAGGATACAATAGATAAGACAATGTACCATACAGTGCTGTGGCACTATGAATGCATGGCTTTATTGTTCTCTGTGCGAGTAACAATGGAAGTAACCTAGCCAGAAGTAGTAATCTGTAGTGCTAGGTCCTTCAGGCTCAGACTATTACTTAGTACTTTATAGTACTGTGTAGTGAAAGCCAAACAATATGCTTGGCGGTTAGGGTTAAGAATCATTATTTTGATGGGTGACAAGGCTAAGGTTTTGTGGCCCCAAACAATTTGATTTGCAGAGCTCAACCCTGAATCAGTGACCGAGCTAAATGAGAAGGTCATCAAGGACAAGAGGAAGAAACTCAAAGAGACCCTGGAAAGAGTTCTCAAACTCTATGTGAGTATTGAACATGCTCTGAGCAGTTATCGGCATAACTCGATAAGATTTCATCAAATACTGAGACTTTGAGTAAAGTGAAATAAACATGTGAACTATGTTAATAACTGAAACCTCTGAACAGCGTGTTTGAAATGGACAGATGTTCAGAAATGGATTCTTAAACTGTGTGGTACATGTATAACTCGTCAACATCCCATGGGTGTTAAAACACTCATATTTTTATGAGTTGTGAACACATACAGTGCATGGGCATTTCTAAGTTTTCAAACCATTCCAAACCTGTGAGGTGTTGTGAATTTGACCAAAGTCTGTAGAAGTCTATTTCTGAATATTCCAACTCAGAATGTGAAGTGTGAGTAGATTCATTCAAGGACCGTGGGTTAACAAGTAGTGGATGTTAAGGCGTATCCTTTAAGTAAGTTAATGTGAATATATCTAGTCAAACGTTGATCAAATGTTGCAGCGGCCCACTGTCCTGGGTCTCTGCCGTGTATTGCAATGCCTGCTGCTGTTGGTAACCAGTGATGTGGGCAACCTGGATAAGCTGGTTCCGAAGTGTCAGCTAAACCAGTCCAGCCACCATCAACTAGCTTACGTGTTTAACTGCCATCCTCAGACATGCACTGGTGTGCCTTCACGTTGCCCCCTTATTTACCTCTTGTGAGTCATTCAGCACCCTCCACCGTTTGTGAATACAGAATCGTCCTTTGGGAAATAAAGCTTAACCGTTCCCCTGATTGTTAAATTTATCCTCTTGTGGCAACTGGGAGGAAATGCTGACACCAATAATCTGCTCTTCTTGTTTCGAATAATTTCACAGAGAAAGGAAGATCCGGACATGTACGTTGAGTTCAAGGCCATGGAGGTCGACTACGAAAAGAAGAGAGCCGAAAAGCTCAGGAAATTTGGTTGGTTTGACGTCAAGGCCCGTACCCCGTACCTTTTGAACTGTGGCCAGAAGGCTTTCAAACTGCAAGAAATTCTTCTTTCTTCTCTGTAACTGTAACCCTCCCAGATTCTTTCCAATCAAATTGGAAAGTTTGGACTGTTTCGTAGGATTTAATGGAGGTAGAGCCCAGTTGCTTTTACTGAACATTGGGCTTTGTGCATCTTGAAACTTTGGGCCATGCTGTGAATTTGATTTTGTTAGGGATATGTTTTGTTCAACCTTCTACTTCTCTTAAACAGAAGAAAATTATCTGACATGTCTTTTCGCAGCATCTCAATGAAAAGTGCACTTTTTAGAAAACTATGTGTGAGCTCTTGGATTTGTGAACAACTAGTGCGATAAATGGTGAATAGTTTGAAGCGTTTCTCGGTTCTCATCTTTAACCGTAACCCCCCAAGGGTTGCTGGCCCTAACCTTCCCCTTTCACACAAAGTAAACAGCTGGCTTTTGCATTGGGTTTGACATACCTCAGAAAAACAAAGTCCAACAGCCTCTGTGCACAAACACCCATATGGGACTTTGTGCACAGAGGCTGTTGGACTTTGTTTTTCTGAGGTATGTCAAACCCAATGCAAAAGCCAGCTGTTTCGGCCTACCAGACCTATCCCCACGGAATCAAACACTTTACTACTGCTTAATACGGGCGATTCACAATAGTACGCCACCAAGAGTTTGCAACACGCTGGCCAATCATAACGCGCGAAATTTGTCGACCATTTCCAAACGTGCATTGGGTCGACAAATTTCGTGCATTGTGATTAGCCAATGCATTGCAAATTCTTGGTGGCGCACTATTGTGAAACGGCCGTATTCTGTGTGATTGGGGAAGGTTAGGGTTAAAGGTAGCATCAGTTGCAAGGTTGGTCAGTAAACCTACAAAATTATTGTTGGTCTCATTTTATGTACAGAGGCCATCCGAGATGCAAGACAGGTGAACGTAGAATCAATCCCACTTCCAGACACTCCAGATGGTAAGTCAACCTTTATTCTGCACCTAATATGGTGCCCCTGAATAACTCGGCTGTGGCTAGCGAGGTCACACATGTCTATGGGAAGTTGCCGCAGCCACAACCTAGTGGCTTTCACATGTGCATTTCTTATTTGCTGGCAATCTGCTCCATTCGGGAGCAAGAGGGGAGTGCTTCTGCATTGCAATAGTGGTCATTTATCAAGAACACACTTTACGCAGGTTAGATTGCATTAGGACATGGGATGTGCGGATTGTGCACAACCAATTTCTGTTGGGATGTAAGGCCTTCATGTATGCGTTGGGATCCCACTTGAAACAATTTCCACCAACCCTTCTCTTCTTTCTACGCCGATGAGGGGACCCTTCGAGTTTGGATGGATAGCCAAGTTTTTCAGATACAGCCCATGACAGAGATGTTTTTGCCCCCATTTCTTTTGGAAGTCTGTTTTGGGGTTCTTTAATGTAAACCAGTGTGAATTGTTTTAGTCTGTTGAGCATATCGGAGCAGAGAATACATTAAATTGTTAATATGGAGCATTACATAGCAAGGCTTACTTTTTAGTTCAGAAAATGTGATGTTGCCGTTCTTTTCCTGCCTTTTGATTCTGAATGCCTGCTTCATAAGTGACATTTACTCGAAGGTTTCTTAAAAAATTCCTTTTTTTCAGTTCCATCACTGATCCCTTTGCCTCAAGATATTCCTCTGCCTGGAGCCCAGCCACCTTCTATACTCAAAAGGACATCCTCCTACGGGTAAAAATTCCTTTAAGTAATCTTAGTCACAACCTCCAGAGCCGAGTCGTGAACAATTTGTCTTATTTCTTTTCTTATATTTGAAGTTATACGTAGGGACAATTAGATATCATCAGTGGTCTCCTGTCATACGTTCCTCATGGGAAATGGTGAACCAGTCTATTTGCCGGGTAACTTGACAGTCTTTTAAGGATCTAGCTCTGTTTTCACAGACTTGTGCTGTGTTTGGTCTTGTTGATTGCCCAGTCCTACAAGATTCTGCAGATTTCTATCCATGTCAGACCTGCTCGTGTTCAGCAGGATCAGGTCAATTTACCTTTGGAATTGTCACAGCAAATATCACAGGAATTACCAGTACCCCTCAGTTGTCCAACTAATCGAATGGTGACCCTTTTTGTTGTTCCCCAACAGAATCCCCATGCCTCCTCCCGGCCCCCCTCCTGGCCCCCCACCAAGCCTCTTCCCAGGGCTGCCACCTGGCAAGAAGCCACCGGGTGCCCCACCGGGTCTGCCACCCTACGCAACCACTCCTTACGCGCCGAGATCACCCCCGAGGGTTTCCTTCGCAGGCGTGGGGCCGGAAGAGGACAACGAAGCTTACAACCCTGAAGAAGGTAAAGGAATGTAGACTACGAGACTAATAGGCCTATGTGTAGGTTCCAATAGAGGGTTTTCATGGCTGCCATCTTGCAGGCCAGTGCTTTTGTTTCACAGGGTATGTACAGAGGAGGTTTCTCTGTAAAACACAAGAACTGCCCCACAATATGGCTACCAAGCAAAGCCTCTATATCCAGTGTTGTTTAGGTGCATTCTGAACCAATACGACTTAGATTTGATTCACAGTCCACTGAGTACTTTGTCAGTTTCTGTAACTTTCTCCGCTGTCATTTGAGTTCAGTGTTAGGTTTGTCACGTTTTCCAACCTCTTTGGATCTGTCTAAATATTTAACACCTTGCTGAAGGTTTGCACCCTTTTAGAGGCATCAGAATTCCATTAGAGCAGGACAAAGTGATATTTTTAAATAATAAATCAAGTGTATCTGTCCACCAGTATTGATGCTCAAGGCACTTTTTATCAAATGGTGCAGCTTGCATGTTTCTCACTCTTTGAATTCTCAGTTGGGTAACCATATACCCATCCACGACGATGACGAAATGTCAAAGGGTCTACAGACTGATCTTGCTTTGAATAGCCTGCATGTGGTTCAGGATTTTCCTGGCCACTGAGATTTAGGACTCCAAACTAGTTGATTTAGTGACAATTTAATCAGCGAGGTTTGGCTACTCTTTTGCACTTTTTACAAAACCCCAAAGTGCAAAATTCAAACAATCCTACTCATTAGTTAGTGATCTCACGCTGTGTTAGTTATAAAAGTCACGAACAGTCGGAGTACTGTATCATCATCATTCTTACAGCCACTCTTGTGAATGTTCTTCATGGTTTTTTCTTGAGTCCCCAGTTTCATGTTTGAATGTTCCACTGAGGCAGCGCCGGTACTAAGCACAACAATTATGCACGGGTCACACGCCCGCAATACGCAGTTCCTTCATTTTTGCGTCCACAGATGTATCGGACATGGAGGATGAGGAGAACATGGACGATGCCTCATCGACATCGTCGTCGTCAGGCAGCGAGGATGGAGGAGACGAGGATAACACCGACAGAGAGGACGATGAAGACGAGAGAGAGATGAACACTCAGGACTTGGATATCAGGCAAAGAGAAGGTGGGCAGATGGGGGAAATGAGGAAAACCTTTACACAAATTTTAAAATGATAGGAAAAAAAAATAAAAATCAGAGGAAATTATAAGGGTTTAAAAAAGTACATGTCTACTAGTTTATAAATATTCACTCACTAGGTGCTCAATAGGTCCAAAAACATTCCTGAAACCATCTTTGTTTCCTTGGAAGTATACCACTGGGTTTAGTTGCTAAGCAGCCGATCAAACACAACGACCATTCCTGCCCTCACAGGTACCCATTTATACTCCCGGGTGGAAAGAGGCAAGTAGGGGTAAAAGTGACTTGCCCGCTTTCGAACCCCTGACCCTTTGATCGGGAGTTACAGAACCCACCCACTGAGCCACACGCCCACTTTTCCTTGATTCTGTTTTTAATGTCAGTTTCATTCTTTTCTGTATGCCCAGTGCTCACAAGCAGTTCTAAAATTCAGAGTTTGTGCCAAGATTCCTGTTTCATTTTGCAGTGTTCTGTTGTTCAATTTCCTACCTATATTCCTTTTTGTCAATGTGATATTTCGCTCATCCCAATTTTCACCTGTGCATTTTTCTGTATCGTTCATGTAATTCATTTTGCAGATAAAGCCTTTTCAATTCCACCGCGGTTCATTCATTAGTTAATTTATCGGAGTCCCTGCGTTACTTCAAATAGTCAATAACATGTTGCTAATTGAGAGAAATGAAGCAACACAAAAGTTCATGGTGCTTTGCTCTCTGTATGGTCTTCCTGTTTGTCATTTCAGGAGAAGGGGCAGGGCATCCTAAGGGAGAAAAGAGGAGGAAAGAAGGCAGACTGCCACCTGGAATGACTGCACTGCAAGCCGCAATGCTGAGGATGGCTGGCCAGGAGGTGCCTATGGTGGAAGACGACGAAGAAGATGACGAGGAAGAAGACGAGGTGGAGGCGGAAAAAGAGGCCGAAAAGGAGGAAGATAAGCAACCCCAGAGGAGCATGATGGCCCCTGTGGGCGTGTTGCCACCACGCCCCCTTCAAGGGATACCACAAGGTCCCCCAACTGTGAACCCCCCAAGTGCACCCCCAGGCCCCCCTCCGGGCCCTCCAGCTCGTCCCCCTCCAGGGCCACCGCCGGGCTTCCCCCTGCCCAACTTTGTCAGGCCGCCCATGGTGCCACCGCGGGGCATGCCGCCCAGAATGCCACCACCTGGGCCACCACCCGGCAGGCCCCGCGCCCCACCTCCAGGCCCACCACCGGGCGTTCCTCCTCCGTTGTTGCGAGCGGGGCTGCCCCCGCAGCGCCTCCCTCCGCCGCCACCACCGGGCGTGGGCCCTCCGCCGCGGTTGATGCCGCCCAGGATGCGCCCCCCAGCCCCGGGGATGCAACAGCAGCAGGAGAACCCCAACGTCCTCAGTGCTCCTCCCAGCATCCACAAGCTGCCCATCAAGCCGGACGACCACCTGGCTGACAAGAAGTCCTCGGCGACCATTGAGGCCAAACCGCAGATCCGCAACCTCCAGGCCGACGTGACCCGCTTCATGCCCACATCCCTGAGAGTCAAGAGAGACAAAGGAAAGGCCAAGGGACTGAAAACTGGGGCAGGTGCAGACGAGGACATGATCAAGTCTGTGCCTGTGCCTAAGGCTCAACCGACAGTTGCCACGGCAACCAAGGATGACGCTTATGATCAATTCATGAAAGAGATGTCTGGGTTGATGTCTGGACCACAGGGAGAGGAAACATAACTGTGTCTGTGCCCGTGCCTAAGGCTCAACCGACAGTTGCCACGGCAACCATTGCCAAGGATGATGCTTACGATCAATGCTTGAAGGAGATGTCTGGGTTGATGTCTGGACCACAGGGAGAGGAGACATAACAATGTATGGGATTATAATTGTATACCTCCCTAATGCTTTTTTATCACATCGTTTTCCGATGCTTTCGGAGCAAGTTGACAGCACGTCAGTTAGTAAATTTTTTGTGTAAGCAGCCATTTCTTCAAGAAATAGTGTCAGATATACAGTGTATACTACAGCTAATGTGGGTCCAAGAAACAACGGCCGTACTGCATATGCATAGCAGACCACATGGCAGAGTGACCAGTATGGGTGCTTTCCTAGTGTGCTCAGTGGACTGTGGGCCCTGTGGACTGTTGGCCCCACTGGCTCAAAGTACGACATTGTCAGTACATAGGCCTCTTTGGAGATAATGCTGGCATGTGATTTTCAGACTTGTATCAAGTCTACACTGTAAATGGTGTGAACGCTCACCTAGACACTGACCTGTGTCTTACTGTTATCCCTGTGTACTGAATTTGCACAAGGCAGCAAATATGTCCAGATTTTACAATGCATCTTTGCATTAAACGGAAAGAATTCTTGTTTCAATTTTAGTCTGCGATGATAGATGGTAAAATCAGGTGTTCGGATTTTTTCCTTCCAAGAAAGAACAAGACTTCTGTATCAACAGCTATTAAGTAATTCGGGTTACTGTTTTCAAGTGTTATTTGAAGCTGGGTTATACAAGAAATAAGCATGCTCTATCTCGGTTGAGTACTGAAGCCTTTGAGGTATACAACACAAGCTTTACCTGAACAAACTTGAGTCATGTTTTTGACGGTTTGAAGTTTATTACAGTTCCAATAACGTTTTAATTGAAAAGATGTCCTCCATCCATTTGGGGATTTCGTTTGGACATTTAGAAATAAAAAATGCATTTTACATCAAAATTTTGATCTCAACTGAAAACGGCTGAAAGCGCCCTGTTTCTTGAGCGTGCACTCAGTCACTACCATCTGTTTTCCGCTGAAGTAGAAAATTGTCGGCCCTGTCGTTCTGGTGAAGGTAAAATTTCTTTCAATTTTTACTTTTGTAGGTTTACAATTTTAACATCCGTAAACATAACCCTGCTATAAAAAATAAAATAATGGTATTCTGTTGCATTTTTTTTTTTTTATTTAGTAGGGTTTTCAGTAAGCTGTGATGGGCTTCGTTGCATATAGAAGGGCCGTCAGTTGAATACCCTGACGGAGTTAGGGTTGTACAGAACACCTAAAGACAATCAGATCAGTCTCCAACTTTGCTGTCGTTTTCAAGATTGTGAAGATACACCAGGGGGAGGCACCACTACGAAGTTTTATATTTGCAATGGGAATTCGGTTGCTTTCAAACACATCATGTACAGGGAATGCTAGGCATCCAGTATATTTTCCACTATTTTGATTTACATTTTGTTGCTTTGTAGCATTATACGCATGGGCATCTTGTCCCAGTCTTGTATACAAAGAATAAAAGTGTTTCAATTCAGAAATCTAAATTTGAGATGCATGTTGCGATGCTTTCTTAAAGAGGAAGTCCGTCCAGATCAAAGGATCAGCAGAACACATAATTCTGTATCGGGGCATGAGTCCTATGAAGCTATGTCGCATGTTACTTTAACAATCTTTTAATTTTCCCCCGGAAGAGTGATTTTCCTTTTTAGCATAGTTTGCAGCACGCAACCACTCAAAAGGATTGACCCAAATGATATCATTCATGCATCTTTCTAAACGTGCATTCGTTGTTGTGACAAAAATTGGAGCGTGCCTTCGACTAAATTGATAGCTTAATCTATCGCATCTTTTACGACGCCCGAGCGTAAAGCAATATAGGCCTAATCCTGCTCAGCGTGGCGCATTTTACAGTTTGGCAAAAGTGTGCCTTTTGATTGAACGTGCCAGGTGAAGCAAAGAGATCTTTCGTGTCGCTCTTCTTTTGTTTTCTGAATTCCTCTCCTGCAATGTCTTTCCTCCAAGGACGAAAGATTGGCTTAGTAAAAGGCAAACTGGCACGATCAATATTTTTGTCAACAAGGGTGGTGAGAAGAATCGTGCTGTGTGATCCCTATTCAACTTCAAAAACATTACACTTAAGGAGAATGTGTCGCAATGGTTTGAATATCGCCAATTTGTTCTCATCGACTGACTTTTCAAGGTGCAGATAAATAACATTTTTCACTTATTTCATACAATTTGGTTGAAAAACAACGAGGGTTCCAGGTTCATTAAAAATGATAAAGATTGAGGGGCCACGACCCTCAAGTCTGAGTTACAATCCAATATTTTATTATATATGATGATATTTGTAGATTATATAAAAATGATAATGTATACACCAGCTGTCGATTCTTGATTTAAACATACAACACCAAGTACGTGTAATTTTACATTGCTAAGCAATATTTTCCGGATATCGACACAATAATCACCGTACAGTACACTCCAAAATTACCGAAACATTCGTGAATAAAGTTTCCTTTTGTGTGATTATTAGGCTGCAGCAGACTTTACTATAAGCCCTTATCTTGCCTGCACGCTTTTGTTTGTGCCACAAGAGGGCGCTCCCAAATAGAGATCATTTCTTTTCCCGGCTTGTTACCTTTGAGCCTTTAAGACTGTTCTTTTCTGCAAGAAATCAACACATGCCCCTACACACCTTTAATATTTAAAGGGTGTCGCAGATCGACATTCAATGTGAGCGTCAGTCACTTCGTCGGGGCCATACACCTCAAATCATCGTGAATTATTAATGTTCAGCGAGGGATGAAAACCCGTGGTTTTGCATTTAGCGGATCGGACAGCGGATGTTGCGGAAAGTCACTTGACGTTTTCCAGTGAGATGGCTTAGACACCACACTCTCACTGAGTGACTGAAGAATCGTAGATGCTTCCAAAGTAGCGGGATTTAATCTCGTATCAAAGTGAACATTTCGCCGGTGTGCGGACGTGTGTCTGTTCCCGTGCGTGTATGAATTGGCAGCGGTACAATATTTTTGCCCTATTAGGAAACCCACTCTTTGCCAAATAACACTAAAATAGGACTTTTTTACACTGGAAAATAATGTAACACTCATCTTCAAATATGAGTAATTAATCCGAGCACTGAGGGGTTACCCGGTCGTTCAGTCCCAAACGTAACATCTTGAGTTTCGACTTCTGTGCCAAATTCGTTCATTGCTAGGTGTGTATATCATAGATGCTCTTTACAAACTGGTCTACTTCTTTTCACAACTTTTTCTAGTATTCCATGCCATTCGGGGTGCCCTGGTCAGCCCCACATTAGGGACAGTTTCTTTTCTTGGGAAATTCAGTACCGAGTAGTGAGAAATAATTTTCCCCCCATCGAATTTGTTCCCATTGCAGCATTGCATTGCAGCATTTGTTTTTGCCTCGGGGGCACACACAGACAGCCGGAGTCGACGCTTCCCTGTTGGTGTTGATTTGTCGCGGTCCCATTGCATTTTGTACCAGCCGCCTCTTTATGATTCCAAATTTTCACCTTTTTATTTCATTTTCGTCGTCTTGCTCTAGAAAAAGCAATTGTTTAAATGATCAGTGTGAATATGGAAGGGCTGTGTTTTATTTCTCATCAGCTGCATGAGCAGTACTCAAGAGTGAAATACATCCTGCGTTTCCTCTCTGTCTTGGTCATGTGACTATCACTCCCCTTTCTGTGGTCTGGGCCGCGGTGAGTTTGCTGCTCGGCCTTGCCTTCGGCCGATCAATAATCCTTTGCGTAGTCTTAGCAGGGTACGTTTCAATATATCTTACATGCAGCGGTGACAAAAAATGGAAAGGGTTTTCCTTTTGGAGTACATTGATTTGGGGAATGGGGGTGTTTTGGGAGTGAACTGGTGATAGCAAATTTCCATGGGGGATTGTATGCGGAGTAACAGAGGTCGTAACTGCTTGCGAGACTCTATCTATGATTAAACTAGCCGGAGCGTCTCACTCTGTACATATGGAGTTTGAACTGTGACTGACCCATGGCATGAGCAAAGACTAACCCTATTGCCGGTCTGAGGGGGGCAATATTTGATCAGGCGTGCGTGGTTGTATTGTCTCAGTGTTTGCTCGCCGGGGCGAAAACACGTCATCACTTCATTGGCAAACCCTCACCGGCCCGGTATTTGTTTGCACGTTCACTTTCTTTTCTTCCACGCTCCTGGAGCATGGACGCCTGGATGAATAGGCCTTTTCTATTTATGAAATTCGGAAGCTTGGTAGCTTTATTTGACGAAGCTCCTGTCGTGTTTATTCGCGAGATACCTTGTTTGTACTTTAAGTCTTGTTAAGATGCTGATGGTCTGATTGTCATCGATGTCCCAACAATCACATTTGATCAGGTGCTAAGAAATGGAACTGATGATTTTTACCATAACCTGAATTTGTCAGCAAAATGTCAGCATGTGCAGCAAGGTATGAGACGGAGAGAACCCCCCCCCTTTTGTGTATGTCATTGTCTCGCAGGAATCTGGGGAATTCCTTTCAGACATCTTGGGGGGATGT